AATATGCCAGGAAGATAGCTCTGAGAGAATGCTTATCTTCACAACAAACCACTAAGAAAACACAGCTTCTCCTGTGGACTTTTTGAGAGATGATGAACTACCATAAACCAGGAGGTACATTTTTTTTTTAATTTTCTTTTTTTTTTTGAACGTTTATTTTATTTTTGGAACAGAGAGAGACAGAGCATGAACGGGGAAGGGGCAGAGAGAGAGGGAGACACAGAATCGGAAACAGGCTCCAGGCTCTGAGCCATCAGCCCAGAGCCTGGCGCGGGGCTCGAACTCACAGACCGCGAGATCGTGATCTGGCTGAAGTCGGACGCTTAACCGACTGCGCCACCCAGGCGCCCCCAGGAGGTACATTTTTAAAAAGCTGTTGATTCTAGGAAGTGGCACTTATGAGGCAACCAATGCCTGCTTGCTGAGTCTTGTGGAACACTGATGTTGAGAAGTCAGCATTAAGGAGCTGCTATGAAAATCTTTTCCTCAAACTCTAGTGCTCTGCCCGTAGGAATGTAAAAAGATGTAGTCGCTATGGAAAAGAATATGGTGGTTCCTCAGAGAGTAAAAACTAGAATTACCATAGGACCTGGCAATTCCATATCCAGATATATACCCAAAAGAATCTCGGGTCTTGAAGAGACATTTGCATACCCATGCTCATGGGAGCATTTTCACAATAACCCAAGAGAAACAACCCAAGTGGCTGTGGAAGCAACCCAAGTGGCCAACAAAAGAGGAATGGATAAACAGAATGTGGTACACATATACAATGGAATGTTATTCAGCCTTCAAAAGGAAGGAAATTCTGACATATTCTTCAACATGGATGAACCTTGAGGACATTATGTTAAGTGAAATAAGCCAGTCACAAAAAGACAAATACTGTATGATTCTACCTATATGAGGTATCTAGAGTAGTCAAATTCAGAGAGGAAGAAAGCAGAATGTGGTTGCCAGGGGCTGCAGGGAGGGAGGAAGGAGAGTTGCAGGTGGAGAGTTTCAGTTTTGTGAGATTAAAACAGTTCCGTGGATGGATGATGATGGTTGCAAAACAATGTGAAGACTAAATGCCACTGAACCGTCCACTTTAAAATGGTAAATTTTGTGTTATGTGTATTTTACCAGTTTAAAAAAACAAAAGATTAAATCCTTCAGCCAATTTTCAGAGAAAATTCCCCATTCTCTTCTACTGTATTTTAAATTTGGTACCACCTATAGCTTATCTAACACAAAGAGAAGGAAAAATTAACACACAGCATATGAGCATCAATGAAATACTTTGAGACTCACCAGAGCTAGGTTTCATTTGGCAGCTCTGTGAGCACACAAATGCTCATGGCTGTGATTTTTTTTAATGCCAGATTTTCTAAGAAAATGTGTTTTATGATGCTTTGGAAAATAGAAATGGTCCTAAAAAAAATAAAACTCAAACAAATCCAATTACCCAATGCCCCTTTACCCACAGTTTAATAATCATTGTATCAAGGAAGTCTATTTCAATGGCTCTCAGTTGTGCAAAGGTCAAAGGTTATAAAGCAAGTTTAATTTCTGTAAGAGAAAAACATTATTGTCTAAGACTTTTCATAACTAGGACTGCCCCATGGGGAATAAGGGCTCAGAACCAAAGTCTACAACATTTCCTATCTTTATACTAATTTAAAGTTTACAGAGCAATTCCAAATACATGCTTCCACCTGGCCCTCACAAGCCACTCCATGAGGTAGGTTTTAAAATAGTTTTAATTTTGAGGAGAAGAACACAGAGTTTAAGTGATTTGATCAAAATCACCAAGCCACGATGTGGGTAGAGCCCAGGTCTGAAAAGTTCAAGCCCACTTTTGTATTTCCCTAAACCTTAATTTTAGCTTTGCAGTTGAAGGCTTTATTGACCCCCAGACAGGGAGGTTTCACTGGCTGGGGCCTGGGGCCATTAAAAGGAATGTGTGCAGCAGCACAGTCCCAACAGCACCAGTGTCTCACTTTCTCACCCGGAACATGAGATTATTACTTGACAAACCTACCAGTCCGTCTTCTTTGTAGAATCAGAGGAAATTACATGGGAGGGCATTTTAAAAGCATCAAGTAAAATGTTAAGTCATTAAAAGGCATAGAGTGGTCAGGAGACGAAGATTTCATGACTCTTTTATCATCAGGAAGGTAGAGTGTGGAGGGAAGCATGTATGCAAAACAAACAGCCCTAAAAGTGTGACTGGTACCCACGGTGGTCTGGAAGTAGTGACACACTGGGTGTTTTAAGGGGGCAGGAAGAGGGGAGAAAAACTTGCAGTTTGTTGAGGTCCCAGAGCCCTACACTCTCAGGCCTCGCCTCAGACATTTCAAGATGCTAAGGAAGGAGGTAGGGTAATCCCATCCATATCCTATCGATATCCTTGGATTAAAAGGCTACAGAATTGAATGGTGTTACAGGCAGAACATTACAGTACATACATTAATCAGACACAGCTGCAAGACACCATGCTCAGCCCAGATTCTGGGGGGCTCGACAAAGGGCTGGAGGTGAAGAATCTTCTAAACCTAGCTACTGCTTTCACCCCAGGGTTTGTGGGCTGTACCTTCATTTATTCACCCTCCGAGAGTGGGTGAGAGGCCTGGCTGGGAGTTGGCAGAGGCCCAGGTAGAAAACTATGAAGCCAGTAGTCTGGTGTTTGGGAGTTGGGGACACAAATGGAGAGCAATGGGGCTGCCATAAGCCTTTCAGCCTCAGGTTTTACTTTGTTCATTCATCCAATCTGCAAATATTCATAGAGTACCAATCTACCCGCCAGTGTTCTTAGCACTGGCAAAGCAGTGCTGGATCAGACAGCAAGGTCGCTCCTTCAGGACACTGACATCCTGGTGGGGAAAGACAGATAATGGACCAATGAAAACAATGTCATGACAAATGCTATGAAGAAAAAAGCCAGGAAGTGTGACTGAGAGTGCTGTGGGATCACGACAGGCCTGAGAAGATAGCATTTCAGCTGAGACCCAAATGTCAGATGATAAGAAGGAACAGATATAGAGAAAAAGCTTTCCAGGCAGAGTATCAGCATGTGCAAAGGCCCTGAAGTGGGAACAAGCTGAGACTGTTGGAAGAAAGACTAAAGAAAAGAATATTATGAGCTCAGGTTAGAGGGGTGGCCAGAGAGCTAATAAGATTAGTTAGGGCCTTTTAGGTCTTGGTAAAAAGTCTGGATTTTACTCCCAGTGATATGGAAATTCATGGGAGCACAAAGGAGTGACATATCTAATTTATGTTTTCAGATGAGTCTGGTCTGACAGATCATAAAACAAGTAAGATACCCCTGTAATTCTCAATTAGAATATTCCATTAATAGATCTCTTATTAAAATCCAAGAGGAGTCATGGCTTAATTGGTATGAAAGTGTATACCAGTATCACTTTAGCAGGAATCTACCAGAAAAAGAGAAATATGGAGGATCAGGAGACAGGAAAGATAACAATGTAGAAGGCAGGATGGCGGCCGGCTACCTATGGTGCCTCCCAGGCTTATCTTTACAACTCATCTCTACAACTGGGAGTTGATATCCTGAGCCACCTTACGTCTGTGCCTGGCTCGTCACCCCGATCCAGAGGGCACCTGTGACAGTTGTGGGGGACAGCTACCTGCCTGTGGGCCCTCATCTTCCAGCCTGTGCCAAGAGGTGTCCCTTCCAGCGTCTGCAGCCCACGGGCCATCTGGGAAAGAGCAAGGCAAGAGCCTGAGGGGTATCAAAGGGAAAATGCCTCGATAACCCCTTTTCTTTGTCTGATCCCATGACTGCCACAACAGGGAGGAAAAAGAGGCCAGTGGGCTCCAGCCTGAGTTCACAGCCCATACCTTTCTAGCTTGAAAATGGCTTGTCTAGGTACTGCCCATCATGCCTGAATGATACAACAGAGAAAAGGACCTCTACTTGATTCCTTCTTCCCTTTCCTTTAACTATCCTATACTGAATCATTTCTCAGCGACCTTAGGTATTTTCGACCTACATCCAGCTCCAGCAAGCTATGAAGTTACACAATACTACTTGATCAAGGCAAGTTTTTGCCTCCCCTAAGGAGGGTCAACAGATTGCCTAAAGAAATAAAAACTGTCATGGTACCCTTGCTGCAGTCTGTCTTAGTACATAGATGATACAAACGTCACAATCATTTCCAATCTTGAATCAATCAAATACCTTTAACATTCTGGGAGAGAAGAAGAACCAAGCAGATCCTATTAGTTTAAAACCGAGAGAATAGGCAAAGGTAAGAATAAGAAGAAAAACTACCAGAAACAAAATGACTGCTAGATGCTTCTAAAGAGTTGGATCTATTCAAAAAGACTGGTAGAGAAAAGAAAGGGTGGCTTCTGTGTCTCACATCATGCTCCCCACCCCCACCCCTAAAAGGATGGGGAAGAGAGTAGGGAGAGAAATCACTGGCAGTCATGAAATGCTAGTATCCAACTGGCAGGTATCCAATTATTGTTTCAAAAGCTATCTCAACCAGAACACACTAACAATTTCTTCCTTTTTTAGACTGCTCACTTAAAAATCAGATATGGTAGACCTAAAGCGATACTCGAACTCATGCAGTCCAAATTACTTCACTGATGAAGAGTCAAGTCCAGAAGGTTTTCAGATAGGTGAAGTGCCAGGAAGGGAACCTGGGTCTCCTGACTCATATTCCCTTTAACTTTTATTATGTATTTTTATTTAGAAAATAAAAGCCCATTATAGGAAAATCAGTACCGGCCAGGAAATTATCATATAACCACCATTGGCATTTTGTTCCTTCTATCACATGCTTACAGGTCCCCCTCGACATGTTACAATCATATTAGACTAATGTTCTTTCCAATATACAGGCCCTCCCATTACCAAAAAATATACAATAGAACCTATTAATAGGCCTCAATGAAAATCCTTTTCATGGAGTGTTTAAACAACTCTCAAGAAACCCTGGAACACAAGAATCAACCTGCTTAGGCTCAGAGCAGCTCTGTTTACCTACCTGGTGCATCAGGTACTTGAAGAGGGATAAAAGGATCAGATACACTTAGAAGTGGGAGGCTAGAGTCCACAGTCTGCCCACCCTTCCTTTTTTCAGCTGGAGTGGGTTGGAGGGGAAGAAAGGGTCAAGGAGAGAAAAAAAAAAGAGAAAAGCAGAACACATCAAGTAAATCTAGATGAATTTAGCATCTATTAACCCAACAGCTCAAATTGCAGAGTAAATCTAAACTTAGAGGCAGAAGAAAGATGGATGAGCGGATATAATCCAGGGGAAAGGCAAAATATGTGAGATACATAATCCAGTCCTTGCAACATACTCAAAGATGTAATTAATGATAAAACTAGTACTATATTCATACCCCTGAAATTCTACTTCTTCTTTGTGTGGAAGCCTATGGTGGTCTCTTCCAGAATTCCTGTAGCGATTATTATCCATATCACACATTTTGGCATATAAACAACCACTGCCTGTTTTGTAATCTAGCACATATGTATACATACTTCCAACGTGCCCTTTACCCTCTTGAGGTCATGGTGTCACCAAATGTCTAGGCATGCTAGGCAGAAAGACAGAAAGAAACAGAAATAGACTTCCTGCCTGTTGCAAGCCCTAACCTCTGGACTACATCTAACATTTATTGACATTTTTTCTGTATCTGGCAAACTCACAGATTTATAGAAATCTATACACCGTATGGGATATCAGGGCTTAAAGGGATCTTAGGATTTTCTAGCACAATTTTCTTCCTTTACAGAAAAGAAAACGAAGCCCAGAAGTTAAAAGACTAGCCAGAGGTCTATCAGCAAACCCAGGATCAGAACACAGGTTTGCTGCTTTCTACTTTACTATTCTTTACGCTGCATTTTAATATTCAGTTTGCTCAGTAATTAAAATCTCTATAGAGTGGGTTTTTTAAAACTTTTTATTTTCAAATAATTATGAAATCATAGGAAATTGCTGTATATAGAGTCCTGGGAACCTTCTTCAAACAGTTTCCTTCCATGGTGAGATCTTTTACAACTGTAGGACAAAATCGCTGACATTGTTACAATATTGTTAACTAATTTTATTCAGTTTTCACATACACTCGTCTGGGTGTGTATAGTTCTTTGCAATTAGACTCTATGTATAGATTAGCATAGGCACCACCACAACGATATAGAATTGTTCCATCAAACAAAAGGACCTCCTTGTTGTTCTCCTTTATAGTCACACACTCCTTATTCCAGTCCCTACCTCTTGGAATTCACTAATCTGTTCTCAATCTCTATAATTTTGTCATTTTGAGAAGGTTATTAAAGTGGGTTTTTAAGTTGCTTTAAAGGTAGATGGAGGAAGACAGGGATAAAATCACTGCTCTTAAAATCTCTAAAAAATTTTTTAAACGAGACAAAATGAAATATGTTAAAAGAAAAAAAAACAAATTATATAACTGGATACATTCATCTTCAAAAAAAGTATATATGTGTAGAAATAAAATTATGGACACAAATATTGTAAAATGTCAGCAATGTTCTCCTCTTGGAGTGGGATTGTGAGTTCTTTTATCTTGCTTCTTTGGGCTTTTAGTCATTTTTCCAAAATTACACTAACGAATGTATATAACTTAACAGAAAAATATGTTAAATAAAGAGGCACAATGTCAAGTTCCAGATGTCTGTTGCAACATATGGACACAGTTCATCAACATTTTTGCAGCTTTTACCATAAAAAATGTTTAAAATAACCCTTCTGCCATCCTCCCTGACTTATGAAATTTCCTGTTTATTTCCTTCCTTGTTGATCAGATGGTTTAAAATCAGTGAACAGTCTGAGCTTGGTTAGAAAACTCGTACAAAATGGTGCTATCCTATATTTCATACAAATGAGGACATATTAATTTCTGGGGTTTAGATATAATTTTCTTTCTTTAAAAATTTTCTTTTAACATTTATTTATTTTTGAGAGAGAGACAGAGCATGAGCAGGGGAGGGGCAGAGAGAGAGGGAGACACAGAATCCGAAGCAGGCTCCAGGCTCTGAGCTGTCAGCACAGAGCCCGACGCGGGGCTCGAACTCACAAACCATGAGATCATGACCTGAGTTGAAATTGTGTGCTTAACTGACTGAGCCACCCAGGAGCCCCTATAATTTTCCTTCTTGTGTAAAGAATGAAAAGCGTCACAAACACAAAAAGTTTATACCACAGACAAGAAAGAAGGAAAAATACCACATGTTCATTTAAAAAGACTGGATAAGATGAAAAAAATATGAAGATGTTTTATAATGTTTGTAAAAAGCTTAGTGTCACTGATTTACAAAGGTTCTTGAGATATGGTTATGACTACAGCTGTTGGACTGGGCTGTTCGGTTTCAGATCTCTATCCTGTCATTCTCCAGTTGTGACCTTGGGCAGGTCACTTTAATTTCCCATGGGCTGTTTTAAGGGTCACCTGAGATAATGCATAAAAAAGCACTTAACCAGTGGGCTTATTAGCACGTAGCAAGTGCTCAGTACATTTTCGCTGCTGTTACGGTCATAATTCTACTCAAATGTGTTTAAGGTGTTTAAGTCCCTCAAGAAAAATATGGCCATTTATAGACTACAAAGTAAGCATAAAGGGGAAGAAGATGCTACAACAAAAATAAAAACTGTTTTAAAAACAGTTCATACAGGGGCACCTGAGTGGCTCAGTCGGTTGAGCGACCACTTCGGCTCAGGCCAAGATCTTGAGGTTTGTGAGTTTGAGCCCCGCGTCGGGCTCTGTGCTGACAGCTCAGAGCCTGGAGCCTGCTTCGGATTCTGTGTCTACCTCTCTCTCTGCCCCTCCCCCACTCATGCTCTGTCTCAGAAATAAATAAACATTAAAAAAAATTTAGGGGCGCCTGGGTGGCGCAGTCGGTTAAGCGTCCGACTTCAGCCAGGTCACGATCTCGCGGTCCGTGAGTTCGAGCCCCGCGTCAGGCTCTGGGCTGATGGCTCGGAGCCTGGAGCCTGTTTCCGATGCTGTGTCTCCCTCTCTCTCTGCCCCTTCCCCGTTCATGCTCTGTTTCTCTCTGTCCCAAAAATAAATAAAAAAAAAAAACGTTGAAAAAAAAAAAATTAAAAAAAAAAAAATTTAAAAAAACAGTTCATACAGACAAATGAACAACAAAACAAACAACAAAACGTGATAAGTAGGAATCAAAGGCACTGAAACTGGGAGCAGATGGGAAATGTGTAGGGGCCTCTGCCATTAACAGTGGTAAATCCAAGCTCCTATCCTTTGGCAAAAAGTAGCTTTTCATTCATTCAACAATCTGTACGGAACCAAACACTATACTAAATGCTAGGATTCAACAGCAAAGAAGACTTTCCTAAAGCTTACTTATTCCATGACCCCCTTTCTGGGGAAACTATATTCTACCCAGTACCATAGCTGGACATTATTGTGATGCTTTATCCCAAGGACAACAGTCAATGCTTCATACATTTGGTACATTTAGGCAACTGTGTGGCATATCAAACTTTAAGCACTTTAAACCAGATCAAATTATCGGTGCATTTAAAAATCACACAGGCAAGGGGCGCCTGGGTGGCTCAGTCAGTTAAGTGTCCGACTTCAGCTCAGGTCATGATCTCATGGTCCGTGGGTTCAAGCCCCACATCGGGCTCTGTGCTGACAGCTCAGAGCCTGGAGCCTGCTTCAGACTGTGTCTCCCTTTCTCTCTGCCCTCTCCCTCTCATGCTCTCTGTCTCTCTCTCTCAAAAATAAATAAACATTAAAAAAAAAAAATCACACAGGCAAGAGAACAAAGCTGAAAATGGAAAATAACACAAAGAATTTTAACTATTTAATATTAAAAAGCACATCCCCCAAAGAAGTCCAATGTGATTCCAAAATAATAACATAAGAATATCATCTGAAGGCTTACAGGATACGGTTAAAACTCCAGTTTTTTTCCGACGAGGGAAACACACCTATTAGAAAGCACTCTCAATAATCAGTTTAATCTTCAAAGGTCAGGGTGGGGTAGGCAATTAAAGAGAGGAGAAAAGAGAATATTGAAATATCTGTGGAGAAGTCTTCCTGCAGATTATAATTAGTCTCTCTCCCCCCTCTCACGCTGGTTGAAAATCACTGCTATGGTGGGAGAAAAACTCTAAACACTTTTATTATATTTTTAAAAATTTTACTAGATGTTCCTTTTAATACTGGCAAAGCAAACCTAAGAAAAACAGGGATCTGTAATCAAAAAAAATAAAAGTTAAAGAATTAGAAGACAGAAAAACGGTAGATTTTATAAATCTAAGAGCTGTCTCTAAAAGATACTAAAACAGCAAAATCTCTACTAAAGTTACTAAGAAAAAGAGAAACACAAATACATACAATTAAAATTGATGTATACAAATATTATAAAAGGTTTAAATGCACTATCTTATTTTACTTAAAAAAATTTAAACCTGCAGATGATTTTTAAAAAAGATATTAGTAAATTTGCCTCATTCTGTGGCAGGAAACTTGAGAGAGGAACTTCTGGAGCCAGAGGGTTGGTGTCCCAGCTCTGTCACGTCCTAGCTCTGTGACCCTGGAAAAGAGACTAGACTGCTCAGTTACCTCAACTGTGACTAATGTAGAGATGGTGTTGAGGGTCAGAAGAGATAATAGGGTTGTTGAGAGGGTCAGATGAGAGGATACTTGTGTAGGACAAATGACAGGCTGGGGAAAATGTTTACAATATAGGACATACGAAGAGCTCTTACAAATTAATAAGAACAAAATGAACACAGGACCAAAAAAAAAAAAAAAAAAAAAAAAAAGAAGAGAAAAAAAGGCAAAGGACATGAACAATACATATCCCAGAAGAATACTGTCCTCTGTGTACAGCCTCTGAACTGGGCTGGGTGAGGAAATGACAGAAAAATTACTCTCATTCACTATTGATCAAAATAAAATTTGTACAGCGTTCCCAGAGGCCAATTTAAAAGCAGGTACCAAAGCCTTAAAAGACACATATCTTCTGATTGAATAAATAATCTCCTACAAGTTATCTTAAAGAAACTGTAAAGGATATTATGTAATGACAGCCAAAGTTCCAATAAGAAATGTATACATGAAGTTAGAAAAACTACTGCACACCTAAAGAAAGCAGGAAGAAAGAAAGAATATATAAGGTTAAAATCAGAAATTAATCCATACAACTAAAATGATCAATTTCAGAAGTATATCACATTCCATATGTACACAGAATATATATATACACATATACATACATATGTACGTACATACATATATATATACATACATATACATATATATACACACACGTACACTCAAAACCTCACACCTGCCGCTGAGGGAAATATAATAGTAAAGCACTGAAAGCAAATTAATGTTTAAAAAAGAGGTTACTTGGTTAAATACATTAGGACAAATGCATATGAAGCAATTTAATGCAGATCTTTTTAAAATTTAAGAGCTTCTTTAATGATGTGGGAAATGTGCCAGATTTAGTAAGTGAGAAAATTTGGTTTTAAAATAGGACTATAAAGATGTACATTAGAGTCTTAAGCTGAGGTTAAAAACTGTGTACAAAATTGTGGTCATGTATTTTCATAAAGGAGAAGATCTAGAACTTTCATTAGATTCACAAGATATCTGTGACCCTAAAAATGTCAAATGCCACTAACAGGAACCAAAATGGTATCCCTGAGCTGTTTCTCAGTGGTGAGATTATGGGCATTTTAACTTTCTTCCCTATGCTTTTCTATAAATATTACTTTTATATAATAAATATGTATCATTTTTTTAATTTTTAAGAAATGTTAATCAAAGTATAGTTTACCATGTATAAATTCTGTTAATAAAGGAGAAAATTAATTTTTTACTATTGCTTCTTTAATTTAAAAAAGGCCTAATTTTTTAAAAAAGATATCTCCCTCTCCCCATAAACACACACACCTGCACAAAAACACAGCTCAGTAGAGTCTTGGATACAGGATAGAACATCTAATTCTTAGAATTCTTCAAGTCATTCCACAGAACCTAAATAACTAACCTAAAAGAGATTAACAGAATGATGTTCTTAAATTTAGAAATATTTGCTTAAAGTATGTATGTGAACCAAAGAGAACAAATCCTGTATATTACTGACATATCATCCTGTCATTTGAATTCAAGTGATTCCAGATTTTTTTTTCCCCGATCTTTAATATTGGAAATCTTCTGAATAAAGAAAACATAAGTTAACACCAAGATTTGGGGCTCACTGGTGTGCCAGAGTTATCTGTGGAGGTTCACAACGGTAAGGCCTGTGTTTCACACGTTTGCTATACTAACCTGTTCCAGCAGAAAATGAGGGAGTGGCAAAGGCATCACCTTGAGTTGGTTGAAAGCCTGGGATCAAACTCTCAGCTGAGCCTCCAAGCTTCTCAGGATGTTTGCCTGGAGAGACAAAATACCACTCAGTTCATTCCAGCAAAATCCCATGATGTGCACATACATGCAGGAGATGAAGGGCACCTTCTGAAGTGACTTCTAGACTTTTTTTTACTGCATTATGGCAACACCTCAGCTATTCAAAGGTCTCTGTCTAGTCACTGCAATAACGGAGACAACAGTGAGAAAAGGAGGGAAGTTTTAAGAATCAAAGATCGCACATTGGTTTTGCAAGGCAAAAAAGAGTTCTGGAGATTGGATGCACGACAGTGAGTATGTAACTAACACTACTGAACTGTACAGTTAACAATGGTTAAGAAGCTAATGTTTATGTTGTGTATATTTATCATCACTAAAAATTTTTTCAAATAAATAAGTAAAAAGCCACAAAAGAGATGGCTGGAGCGAAAGCCCGAAGGTTCAAGCACCTTACTCAGAGCAGGTTGCCTCCAGTCCTTATTCCAAATCCATTTATTTTTATGTAATTCTAATGAGTTTGCCAATCTGTTTTCTGTGGTGGAAACAGTTCAGGAGTGGACATGAGAAGGGGGCGTGGGGGAAACGGCGGGACTGAGACGTCACAAGGGACAGGAACAATGGTAGCAGTTCAATGTGACAGAAGAGAGACAGGAAATTATTAAAAATAGACACAAGAATTTTAAAACCTAGGAGTCTCTTTTTTTTAATGTTTACTTATTTTGAGAGAGAGAGAGAGAGAGAGAGAGAAAGAGAGAGAGCATGAGCGGGGGAAGGTCAGAGAGAGAGGGAAACACAGAATCTGAAGGTTCCAGGCTCTGAGCTGTCAGCACAGAGCCTGACATAGGGCTCGAACCCACAAACCACGAGATCATCACCTGAGCCGAGGTCGGATGGTTAACCAACTGAGCCACCCAGGCAGCCCTAAGTTTGGCAGTCTTTTAATCAAGTGCAAAAATACTAGAGTTTTCAATAGCCCATGAAGGTATTTCTGTTATTCTAGAACAATAACTGGCATACATAACAATGAAATAATTTGACAATGAGTTAGTTGTCTGTCAGAGTTAAATCCTATACCCTATCTTTGGCTTAAAAGGATAAGAAGGCGCACGTGGATGGCTCAGTTGGGTAAGCATCCAACTTTGGCTCAGGCCATGATCTCACCGTTCATGAGTTTGAGCCCCACATTGGACCGTCTGCTATCAGCTCAGAGCACACATCAGATCCCCCCTCTCTGCCCCTCTCCTACTTGTGCATGCATTTGTGTGTGGGCTCTCAACCCAAAAATAAATACATAAACTACAAAAAAATAAATAAATAAAAGGATAAGAAAGTAATACAAATTTTTTAAAGATATCTATAAAATAATAGCTAAAGTTAAAATGTCTGGTCAAAGTCCGTATCATTCACTCGGTTCTGATTATTCCTTTACCCTGTGCTCTTGTCTAATGCTGAGGTACTCTTCTCGAAGGATTTTCCCAACGTGCTGTTGTTTTCCCAAAGTGCATGTTGCATGCCTGTGTGTGTATCTGTGTCCTGCCTTCCAAAACAGACTGTGGGTTTTTGAGAGTAGAAATGGTGCCTTCCATTCATTTGATTGCCTTTTCGCAGTCAGAATTCTAATCACGGTGAGAGATTCAATGTTCACGTGAGGGCAGCACACTCTCCTGGGTGAGCAGTAACAACTTTCTGTGACAATAAACACACGTAGGACGAGAAACCCATCACACTTGTCTGAGGAGTGACCGTGCTTGACACTACCATCCTGAGCTCTGCTACCAAATCCTTCCTAAAAGAGTCCCGCTCTCCGTGCCCCTGCCTGCAACAGGCCAGGAGTTCCTGAGGATGGAAAGATGTCAGTGCCCTGGTAAACATACCAGTTTGCACACGTACTTCGAAATCAAGCCTTTGAGGGAAAGAAAGAGCCAACCCTCCATTTTCACAGGCATGCCCCTCTGGAGCTAGGGTTTTAAGAATCACAGAAAGACACCAATCGCTCACCTTCCCCCAGCTTGGCAAAGTCCTTGTTCAGTAGTTCTTCAGCGGTGAGTTTGGAGAAATTGTCGTCATCGAAGGGATTCCACGTAGAACCTTCTGAAGCATTATAAACATTTTGCTGGGAGGTCCGAGGAGAGCCTGATGGAGTGGTGGTTGCAGACCTAGGTAGGTTCCCACCCCCACGAAATGAAAAAGTTGAAAAAGGGTCAATCTGCTTTCTCTGTTTCAGATCAATTTGTTTTCTAGGTCCAACCATTATTAGCAAGCGCTTTCTCCAGCAATCGGACACTTTCCACAGATACTTTTCTCACTGTGTGAAATAAATATCTCCCGTTCCTTCATGATCATTTGTCTCCCGCTACTTCTTTCATCTCTTGCTTAGATTTTTGGTCTCATCTGCAAGTCCTTTCAATCCAGAATCCCAAAGCAACCTGTTCTTAGGCTTGTGCCTCCTATGGCACCCACTGTAACATCCACAATAACTGACCCCAGAGGGGCCAGGACTGGTGTCTTTTCAGGTGCCTCCCATCTGTCAGGATCTAGCCCGCAGAGAATGAAGGGCCACCGTGAGTGGTCATCATCACAGTTAAAGGGAAACAAAGACGGTTATCACTATCTTGTGGTATCATTACCTAATTTTCTTCTAAAGTCTCTCTTGAGACTTTGCATTTAATTAATGACTTAAAGATTTTTAACATTAGAGTGCATGATTCCAAGAAAGCTGAGGGTCTGAAATTGCATTTACCTAGAGAGCACTCATTGCTATCTACTTTATTTCAGGCACAAAGCCAGTCACTGGATTTACAAAGGTTAAGACATGGTCCTTGTCTGGAGGAATTTACAGGCTAGGTCAGCTGGATATACAAACAAATAATGATGATACAATGTGATGCATGCTCAAAAAAGGTTGAGACAAGCTTATATATGATACCAAGGGGTCAAAGAAAAGGTCATCTCTGCATGGATCTTGATGAAAAAAATAAGTATTTCCTAGGTGGACAAGGAGGGTAGTGGCAGTCTGGGGAGAGGGCACAGGATGAACAAAGTGCTCGCGATGATGGAGAGTGACAAGTCCACCAATGTGATACAACAGCCTTTGGTCTGTTAACCAATGAGTTCAGATATAACCCACAGGCAATGGGGAGCCAAATGAGAGATTTTCAGCATGGAGATTTGATCAGACTACAAGTTTAAAAAATACTCTGTGGAACATGAAATGGGTGAGAGAATAGAAACAGTCAAGCAAATGTGAAATTATTCCTTAAGATCAGTATGGTCTATGTACTACAGGCAAATTCAGTTTCTTAACAAACACAGACACCTACCATTATATGTACATCTACACACATCGACACGCAGATGCCAAGAATTACACAGCCCTGGCACACAGCAGCCCTGGCCCACAGCAGTAAGAAAGATAAAGAGGAAGCACCGCATACTTGGACTTATTGAGGCTGGCCTCAGCTGCAGCTGCCTGGAGCAGCTGGGTTGATTTGCTGGCAGGGACCCCGAAGACCGCACTATGGGTTACGTCACTGAGAATCCGCCTGTGCCCAGCACGCTGGGTCTTGGGGGATGATGGAGGAGTGAGAGATCCGAGTTTCTGTCCCTGGACGGCAGGAGGTGGGGTTGTTTGAACCTTTGGCTGTTGTCTTACTGGGGCTTGAATCTGCTAGGAAGAAAAATGACAAGTGTTCCCCACCCCCCCCCCCAAAAAAGTGGGGGGGGGGGAGGAAAAACAAATAAACAGACAAGCATAATAAAAAAATGCCACATGAGAGCTACTATGGGATTCAAATGGCTGAATGTACCAATAACAACCAGAAAGAAAGAAACCCAGTTTTTGACAATCTGAGCTTTAACTCTGGGACTGATACCAACATGCTATTTATCTGATGCTTCTATGTAAATTTCAGTGTTCATCAGCAATGATATCCAGACTAATCATGCATACAGTCCAGAGCATAAGACTGCAGAGGCTATTTCTAACTCCGAAAATCGAGAATGTATCCTACAGGACCACTTTCAGCTTCCAAGGTCACAAAGGAACTCATTCAGAATGCCTCCAAAGAGCGTGCATGTTTTAAACAATCTACCACCACGGTCAGAAGCCAATGACGGCACACCTCCCACTAAAACACATTTGAGCTGAATAATTCCTGCTAAGAGACCCCCGACTCTGATATAGCTCAGACTACTGGTTAGGAATAAGTTAGGATTCCACTGTGATTCATAAATGGTAGTGCTTTTTTTGTTCATTTTGTTCTTAAGCCTCTTTATTTCATTGATAAGGTGGGTCTACACGATTCTATTTCTGTGCCTCCCCTGAGAAAATGTGTACAGCATCGGGGTAGTGGGGTTAACCTGTTCCACCCTTCAGTTTGGAAAAGGCACTGAAGAACCAGGTAGATAATATTAGTAAGAAATAAAAAATTTGAAAAGCGCTTGATGATAACTGACCTAATAACACAAGGAGTCTTGAGATTTGGGCCATTTTCAGGAGGCAGAACAAACCATCACCACAGAAAAGCCAATAGGAACATCTTTGTGGCCACTTGGTTACACTTGAAGCCTAAGTCACAATCTACAAAGTGCTATTATCATTAAGAGGAACAAAAAATAGTATTAACAAGGCCACCTAACCCTTTAATTTTGTCAGTCCAGAGACAGAATTATTTAGAATCTTGAAGGCCCCAGGTATTTCACTATCACTTCCCTCTGGTCCCTCATCTCAGATTAAGATGCCCCGTCCATGCTATAGCTCAGTTTTTACATTCTGTGTCTTCGAAGGTAGGTCCTGAGAGAGAAAGGGAACCAGAGGGTCCAGCTACTTGGGTCAGGATGCTGAGCAGCCCGGGACTTTCTGTCCTTATGTTGATTCAGAGTCTGAATTTTACTGAGGTAGGTGATGTGCACGTTTGAGTACACAATCACCCACCAATTGAATGGATGACAATATAAAGCTCAAACATCAGTCAAATGAAGGTCAGAGGGTAAAGCAGCTGAGGCACCTCTGAGGGAGCAGAATGCCCTGTAAAGACCAGAGCTCTGGCTCCAAAACTTCCTTCAGGGGTTCAGGATGTGCCTGCAACAGCCAACCTTAAGCCAGTACCCACGGAGACCAGAATGGCTTTACAAACAGAACTGGATTAGCTTATTTTTTGGAGGTTAAGATAATTCATTACTTTGAGAAAGGTATACTTAACTGTTGAGTCTCTTTATTTTGAAGAGTCCACACTCCCTGGAGAACACTGTCCCTTCCTCTTACCTATCCCTGTATGCAGCACACTGAAAAACAGAGCTTCTATCGTCCGGACACCTTACCTATCACAGCAATCTATGAATACAAAATGACTCCAACCCATTCAGCTACTCCTCCCAACAACCATGTCAGGCAGACAGGTTTCTTTTTTTGTTTGTTTTATTTTGTTTTTTTTTTTTTTTTTTTTTTTTTTTTTTTTTTTTTTTTTTTTTTTTTTTTAAATTTTTTTTTTTTTTTCAACGTTTATTTATTTTGGGGACAGAGAGAGACAGAGCATGAACGGGGGAGGGGCAGAGAGAGAGGGAGACACAGAATTGGAAACAGGCTCCAGGCTCTGAGCCATCAGCCCAGAGCCTGACGCGGGGCTCGAACTCACGGACCGCGAGATCGTGACCTGGCTGAAGTCGGACGCTTAACCGACTGCGCCACCCAGGCGCCCCATTGTTTTATTTTGTTTTTTAATTTTAGAGAGTGCACAAGTGAGCGGGGGCGGTGGGGGGGAGGGAGAGAGAGAGAGAGAGAGAGAGAGAGAGAATCCTAAGCAGGCTCCACGCTCAGCACAGAGCCCAACACGGGGCTCAATCCCAGCTGCTCAGGAGCAACTGACTGAGCCACCCAAGCACTCCCAGGCAGAAAGTTTTATTGCCATTTCAAATCTAAGAATGTGAGAGTCAAAGGGACCTTGGAGAGCACAGATTCCAACTCCCACACTTCAAAGGAACCGAGACCAAGGCACCCTAAGGCTATGTGCTTGCTTGTTCAAGGTCACAGGGTCACCTGGGGACAGAATCCTTGTCTCCCTACTAGGCTCAGGACTTTTTTCTTCACCATCATGTCTCCGGCAAAGATTAGGAAGCGGGAGGAGGAACGCACAAACCACGGTGGAAGGGGAAGTAAAGCAGACTCAGACTCAGATGTCGGTCTTGCTAAAGATTTTTTTAAAGAACAAAATATGTAATTATACAAGGAGTACAGTCAGATCTAGGAACGCAAGAATATATACAAAAGGGGGAAAAACACTCCGACTTCCATTCCACAATTAGTACTGTATTCTAATACAACTCTTCTTATCTTCTTGGTATCTTATATTTAAGTCTCTTGTCAAGTACATACTTTCCCCACAATCTCAACATTACCTCATGAGTGCGTTCATACTGTTGTACAGACTTTATAACCATGATTTTTAATGGCTGCACAGTTGGGTTCTTGAACAATTAGGTGACTTCCATTCTTTTGGCTATTACTAATAAGACTGCAATCAAGTATCTCCGGTAGGCTGCCATTTTCCCTTTGCAGATTATTGCTTTAAGGTGGCTGCAGGGTATCTTTTACATGCACTCACTTGCTTCTCCAGGGAAGTCCTGCCAAGGGTCACTGGAGAAAGGCATATTTGGGAAGCTCTCTGGCTCCTGGCTAGAAGCATGCTCTGCTCCCGTTCCTTCTTCGTCCCCTCAACAGAATACTCTCAAGCCAAGTGCTCAAAGTATGTTTTCAGCCAAGGAACATGGAGAAGGTTCATAATTTCATTCCCAAAAGAGGGACAGCAAGGGGGAACCTTATAAGAAGTGTAGTCAATGGCTGTTGATCATTTCATCCCCCTGGATGAGCATCTTTGTTATTATCCTTGAACGCAGATCAGGATTCTTTGGTTCCTTCCCTTGCTCTGCTGTTGTCAGTCTGTGTGTCTTGAGTAATCCCTTGCTGGCCTGGGCCTAGTTTCCAATTCCATTAAACAAGGGGATTAGACTAGACAATTAATATCTCAACTACCTATATCATATAATAATTTTTTAAAAACCCTTTTTCCATTAACAAAAGGAACTTTAGGTCTTGTTAAAAACACAGAGAGTGGCTGTCTACCACACGCCTGCAGGAAGACTGTGCTGTTTTAGAAACGAAGGTGTAAAGACACTGAACACACACTTAGCTGAGGCTCAAAGAAGACAATCTATTTACGGTACTGCTTCCTTTTGAAGGAATAAAGGTTTTTTTTGGTTTGAGACGGGCGACAAGACTCTATTAGAAACCAATCCTCAGAAAGATGACTTCTTACTTTTCTTTCATTTGTCTAGTAGCTGGACTTCCCTGGGAATAAGAGAGTAGCCGTGATACTCTATTGGCTGGATACATAAAGTGCCTTTTTTCTATCACCATGATATTTTCTTCACTGTCACTCAGAAATATGTGGGTACAGAATTAAGAGCACTTAGTAGAGGCCAAACACCATGTGTCTGAGAATGCCGAAGCTGTACAGATCAATCAGGAGAGGAGGCAGGGGTTCTGATGCTGTAGTCAGGCAGTCTCTAGAAGTGGACATGCCCAGTTTCTAGCATGACAAGGCGGCTCAAACAGTACTCAGATGCCTAGAGACCCAGAGGGTTAGGCCGCGGTCAACAGTCCCAGCAAGGAGGCCCCCGAAGGCGGCTGCACAGTAGACTTCAATGAGGTGGCTGGTAATGTCATCCAAGACAAAGAATAAATAAAGCACCCTCAGGACTCAGGGTAAAGCTGGGAGCCCACACCAACCTCCAGAGATTGAAAAGGTCATGATGGCCAAACTGGCCCTCGAAGAGAAAGGGGTTAGCTCTAATCCTACCCAGGTCCTTGACTGCTCATCAGTGGCACTGATAGAGACAACATGCAACTCTTTCTGCCAGTCTAATTTTAGAATTACAAATAAAAATGTTCACTTCATCAGTGGCCTAGGATCATCTTTTTTAGAACCTCTATCTTCTACAGAATACTTCATCATGACCTTGGAAAATATCAAGAAAAAAAAATCAAATATTTGAACTATAAGAATGGGGAAGAGGCCCAGCCTAAACAGGGGCCCCGCCCCAGCCCCCCCGCCGGGTTTCCACCTTCTCGCCCACCCTCACTGTGTGCTCTTCTGCTCTGAGCCCTGGCTGGCTCTTACCGCTGGCTCCTGGGCCGGTGGTGGCTGTGGGGCTGCGGCCGGCTGTGTCTGGGGCTGCTGTGCTGCTGCCACAGCACTCTTCTGCTGCAAGGCGGCCTGCTGAGTCAGCAGCTGCTGCTGATGCAGGGTCGTGGCCAGCTGCTGCTGCTGCTGCTGCTGCTGCTGCTGCTGCTGCTGTTGCTGGTAGAAGTTCTGTATCAGCTGCTGTTGAGAGCCTCCTTGGGACACTACAGGGAACTGGGCAATTGCTGGTTGCTGGGCTGCTGGGTGTACTGCCTGAAACTAAGCAGGGGGAGCGGCAAGAAAGCGGGAGGTGAAGAAAGCCTGTCTCTGAACAATGTTCCACAAGACACAAATGTCTCAGTCACAACTAAGCCCAGTCCGAGGCCAAAGGCAAGGGTGGGCAGAAGTCTTTTAGCTTGGCCTGACAACTCACGAGGGGAACCTTGGGGCACCACAATGGACCCGGCGGCACCTTCCACTGCCAGGCTGCATCCACTGCACGGTGCTGCCTCCTGCACTGCACACACTGGCTTCCGGGTGGGTTTCTACGGTGAGCCTGAGGGCTTCCATTTGACTGGGCAGCTTGTGACTCCCCATGCTGGAGTGTAACAGAAGCTAATAAATCATCTCCCAATCACAGAGGTAATCCCGCTTATAAAGGGATTTGGGAGCAGTCACGATCAAAATGCTTCATGAACAGGATGAAGCAGTGATGACACCGAAAAGAATGACCTAAATCCTAGCCCAGCTAATAGAGTCCTTCCAAGCCCTTCTGAAAATTATGTCCCGACGGCTCTATCTTACTATTACGGATATTTGATCTCACACTGATAACTAATTGTTTCAAGTTATATTCTCCCTGCCTCAGGATACAGATACTTCTTATCCATCCCTCTACTCTGCACTGCTAAGCACTGTGTGCTACACACACACACACACACACACACACACACACACACACACACACAGAGTAAGCATACACGCACAGAGGTCAAACAAGGGCCTACTGGTTAACAAAAGTCAAGATCTTGTCTTTGAACTTCCCAAACACTGTTACTTAGTTATAGAGTTAACTGAGAGGACACTGTTTGCCTCCTGGGGCAAAGGTAAAGGGTTAGCAAAGAAGCTGATGTCAATAAATAGCTGCCTGTTTATAACTGCAAAATGCTGGAAACAACCAAATGTTTATCAACAGGGGACTGGTTGAATAAACCATGCTATGTGTCTTTAAAAGGGAATACTCTCAAGTTGTAAACAGGAATGAGGGCTCTCTCTCTATTACGGGATGGAGCGGACAGAATTCTGTAGATTTAACTTTGAAATTCTGTTACTGTTTTATATTTTAATGAAACAAAATTAAACCAAAATTCAGCAATAACTATAAATCAAAAGCAAAATGAAACAAATAAACCTGTGTATCAAATTTATAGCCAAACTCTGCAGAAAATAATGAGCTAAACATTCTAAGAATGAAAAAGGCAAAGAAATCTTAATACCATGGATTCATGGTATATATTCTATTAACAGAACAAAACGAACAAAATACATTTCCCAAGTATCCACTGAAAAGGCTTAAAAACAATAACCAACCTATTAGCAAATGAATATCTTTAGTAACAAGATTGTGGTCTCTAAATACAATTTCCATTAAAAGGAAATGGAGCTCCTTCAGAGAAATCCAGGTCGAGGTCAAGGGCAGAGTGACCCTGGAAGGGCTTGTTACACTAAATAGCAAGGAAACCATTAAAGACGGCTGGGTCACCACCAAAGGACCCAGGAGTCAATCTGAAAAGACTTCCACTGGCCAAAGCTGGGGCAATTCAAGCATCAAAATAAAATGTTTAAAATGGCAATGCATGGAAATGTATCAAATATGTTAAAATCCCTGAGTTCATGACGATGCTAAAACAGAACAGAAACCTCTTTGTTCACCATCAGATGACACTAGGAACAAACCCATTCTGAAAACTGGTAAACACAGGGGAAAAGAATCAAGCATTTTTTCTACCTTTTCTGTATAAACAGTACTTCAGGGTCATCAAGTAGTTGAGAAAAATTCTTCACAGAAAAATTCCAGCCCCTCAGGGAAGAGGGGGAAGGTTAGCATACCACCATGTTGCCGTCCCTAAGGAGTTAATGGACTTAGGAAATGATCAGCAGTGGCTGCTAAACTGATCAGGGGCATTAAATGAATGGATCAGACAGACACCAAACTCACTGACTGATCTTAATATTAATAAAAGAGAAGACAACCAGACTTTATACGCCTCCTGATGTGATACAACCAGAAGAACAAAGAATGAGTCAACTGAATCAAATATGGAGCAAGCCTCAAAAAATGACCAGTTTACACAGAGGATGGAGGAACATATTAAGTGACCACACAGATGCATCAGCCAAATCCAGAGATGGAAAATACTACAGGACAAATGACCCAGTTTCTTCAAAAAACTGAATGGCAGAGGGGGGAAAAAAAGAGGGAGGGAGATGGCATATGTGAATAAAAGGAGACTTTTTTTTTTTTTTTTAATTTTTTTTTTCAACATTTATTTATTTTTGGGACAGAGAGAGACAGAGCATGAACGGGGGAGGGGCAGAGAGAGAGGGAGACACAGAATCCGAAACAGGCTCCAGGCTCTGAGCTGTCAGCCCAGAGCCCGACGCGGGGCTCGAACTCACGGACCGCGAGATCGTGACCTGGCTGAAGTTGGACGCTTAACCGACTGCGCCACCCAGGCGCCCCAAAAGGAGACTTAAAAGATACGTCAATTATTATAAAATGAATATGTTCATAGTAAAAAAATGTAGAAAAGATATATGAAAAGATAATGATAGAAAAAAGATATATCACAACTAAATATAACATGTGGTGGACCTTGTTTGGATCTTGAGTCTAACAAGCCAACTTAAATCATGAGACATCAGGAAGAGTTAAATGTTACTGGATATTTTATAATAATAAGAAATTATTTTAGTATGGTAACGATGCAGTTGTATTAAAAAAAGAAGAGAGAAGAGTCCTTAAAATATTTCCTTTGAGGGGCAGCTGGGTGGCTCAGTCAGTTAAGTGTCGGACTTCGGCTCAGGTCATGGTCTCGAGGTTTGTGAGTTCGAGCCCCACATCAGGCTCTGTGCTGACAGTGCAGAGCCTGCTTTGGATCCTCTGTCTCCCTCTCTCTCTGCCCCTTCCCTGCTCATGCTCTTTTGCTTGTTCTCTCTCTCTCTCTCTCTCTCTCTCACTCTCTCTCTCTCTCAAGAAATATCTCCCTTGCTGAGGTTCCTCCATCCAGGTGAAGAGAAAGGGGTGTGAGTGTCCCAGTGACGGCTCCACTACTCAGTGTTTTCTAGTATTTACCTCTGGGAGAAGCAATGATGTCATGTCTAGTGGCTCTCTGCCTTCCCAGGGCTTCTCAAGGAAGATGCCTATACCTACTGGGCCTTTTTGCAGCACTGTCTCAGATATGCCAAGCAAAAGAAGACTGTGAACAGCTTACCTGTTGAGCCTGCTGAGCCTGCTGCTGCTGTTGCTGCTGGTAAAACGTGCCTGCAGGCTGCTGGGAAGATGGCGGTGGCTGCTGCTGCTGTGGCTGTGGCTGCTGTTGCTGCTTGAGGAAGAGTTGCTGCTGGTGCTGGGGGGTGGCCTGGGCTGGAGTGGGCAGAGCCTGGGCTGGAGTGGGAGGCGTCTGCTGTGGGGTGGGTGGAGCCTGTGGCTGCTTGGGCTGAGACTGCGGTAGAGGCTGGCTGGGTTGGGGCTGGGTTTTGGGTTGGGGAACACTGGCTAAAAGGCCAGGCTGATTGCTGGATCCTGTAATGAGAATAAACTCCATATAAAGGCCCAAAATTCTTCCAGACGAAAACAGCTTGCTTTCTCTCTTGCCAAAGCAGTAAAGAGGGGGGTGATAAGTGGACCAACAGCCCCAAGATCCACGTGCTCCTGTCTTCGCACTTCTTCTCGCTAAACTATGTGCTTCATATTTTTCAAAACAAGGTTCAGTAAGATGCCCCTGCACACAAACATGATCTTTGCACTTACTGGCATTCTTTAGGACAAAAGCATTCTTTGATGTTTTACATGTAAGTTATGCAACCCCAGTCTAGATGCCTGGCTATAAGCAGATAACTACCAAATTCATCAAAAACAGCTTCCTAATAGGGGAAGTAATGACTAAGTTCAGTTACTTGATAATTTAGATCCTCTAAACTAAGTTATCTTATTAGAACCAGAATACCAAAACAGAGTGGTAACAGATACTTTAAGAGACAGAACATTAAAGAAACAATTCCTCTGTCAAAAAGAGGAGGGTCTTGTTTCTTTAAAAGCAAAGAGAAATATAGGAAATAAAAAGGAAGGCATGGGATGAATGGACCAAGCCACAAAATGAGGACCAAGACTAGAAAAAATGAGTTATCAGGCTTCAGTGGTCATGGAGGTCCCCCACAAAATTCAGTGAGAGGATTCTCCTTTGGACAGCCACTTGCCATATAATTTCAATGGGAGTTCACCTCTTGTTCCTGAAGGCAAACCATTATTTCTTTTGTGCCTCTGAATTCCATTCCTGAAGGAAAAGTAGGCTTCCCAAGACTTGTGTAATGTCCAGGATAACAAAGAGGTATACCAAATTTCAAACCAACCTAGTTACTGACCTGCAACCTGGGGCAGGGGCTGAACTGTGGCCCTCTTTCGAGGTGTCAAAGCTGGCTGGATGGGAAGGATTCCTGGGTTTGGCTGAGTCTGCCCAGCCTTAGGCCTCTGACGTGGTGCAATTGAAGTCTCTGTTGTGGGAATGGGATCTGTCAGTCTAGGAAAGGAAAGGGGAGAAAACAGATTCATGTTAAAGTGTGGGAAGGTGAGGAGGGGTAGACAGAGTACTTGATAGATTGATTGGCTTTCCCATCCACACCTATCCAAATCTTCCAGATCTGCTTAATCGACATCTGCCAAAGGGTGTTCCACAGGGTATTATGTGTTACAAGATGTTATGAAGAAAGGTTTGGTGGGAAATAAGTTTTAACACACTGTTCAAAATATATCAAGCAGACTTCTTTCCAGAAGAACTTTTCACCTGTGAATGTGTATGCAGAACTTCGAAGACAGCACTATACAGAATACAATGTTTCTCTAGCTAATCTGACCTTGGGACCCTTCTAATACCATGTCAAAATAGTCTCTCTACAATAAAAAGCATGCAAATGAGTGAATCCAATAAGGCAACTAAAAGGAATAAGTAAATAGTTTAAGATAAAGGATTTGGGGAATATGACACATATCTATTTCCTCCAATACACATGTTCTTCTTTCCAGGGTAATAAAATGCTTAGCTCTTGTACACATTAAATTCATACAATGTTATATGTCAAATATATTTCAATTAAAATTTTTTTTTAGCTGGGGACCGGGCCACAGAGTAAAAATCACATTGCCTAGCCTCTCTTATAATCAGGTGTGGCCAGTGCATCTAAGTTTTGGCCCTACATGGGAAACCAGATTGTTATATGGTAATTTCTAGAAACCTTAAGAAATAAGTAGTGTATGCCATTTGTCTCTCTTCTTCTTTGGCTATTCCTTCATCCTGTTGCTTGGAGCAGGGATGCTACCATCTTGGTCTGTGAGGTCACGGCCACAATCATAGAGATGGCATGGACTACTTACCTCCAGACTTTGCTTACTTGAAAGAAAAGATAAATATCTATCTTATATGACCCACTATCATTTTGGACTCTCTTTAACTCACAGCCAAATCTAATTCAAATTAATACAGGGAGGACTGCTGTATGGTCTACTTGCTCCTTATGATGGTGCTAAAGTTCAGATGGTAACTTCCATTCATTTAGAGCAGTCCAGGCAGCTGGCTACTACCTAACTCAGATCAGAGTAGTTGACTTTTTTTTTTAACGTATTTTAAATTAAAAACATTTTTATTTTATTTTTTAAATTTTTTTAAAAGTTTATTTATTTTAGAGAGAGGGAGAGAGAGAGACAGAGACAGAGTGAGCAGGGGAGGGGCAGAGAGAGAGGGAGACACAGAATCTGAAGCAGGCTCTAGGCTCTGAGCTGTCAGCACAGTGCCTGACGCGGGGCTTGAACCCACGAACCGTGAGATCATCACCTGAGCTGAAGTCGGATGCTTAACTGACTGAGCCACCCAGGTGCCCCTCCAAGAATATTTTAGAGAGAGAGAGCATGAGCAGGGGAGAGGGGAAGAGAGAGAGAGAGAGAGAGAGAGAGAGAGAGAGAGAGAATCTTAAGCAGGTTCCATGCTCAGCATCCCAATACAGAGCTTGATCCCACAACCCTGGGATCATGACCTGAGCCAAAATCAGGACTCAGACGTTCAATCAACTAAGCCACCCAGGTACATCACAGTAGTTGTCTTTTGAAAAAGCACTTTAGAGTATAACTAAAGTTAAGGCCAAAAAAGCTTCATGAATATTTCCAAAATATGTGTGGCACAGCCTCCATGAAATGCAAAGCAGGAAGCAAAGCAGCCAGCCCCATGTCCTTCCCTATGACATATCTCCATTGTGGACCCTGAGGCTTTTCCTCTGAAATCCTGCTAGAAGGCTGTTCTTGTGCGGGGTAGAAAACTGATAATATAAAAGCTATTTTATTTAGGGGGGCTGTAACCTGGGGAAGGGTAGGAGGGAAAATGGGACAGATTTGGAGAAGAGGAAAAAGGTGTAAGAAAAATAAAGCTAAGGGTGACAGAGTCAAAGAGACTTCTATAGAAACCAAATACTAAGAATCTCCACACTGGATGGATTTCTCTTAAGGGTAACATCCTAGAGATAAAGGGATTTGGAGTCAAACAAAACTATATTTGAGTTTAGCTCCCCGTTAACTGTGCAATAATAGGTATGTCATTTTACTTCTTCTTGCCTTGGGTCCCTTATGTGTAAAAATGAGAAAATAATACATCATGAGGCAGATGTGAACATCAAATGCATCAATGACTGTAAACCTGTTCTTATGAACTGTAGAGTACTCAAAATGTTAGTCTATATGACTTCAATGTGCTGTGAAAAAATACAGACCCTGAGGCCAGGAGCTCTGGCTCTACGTTGTTCTATCTATGTGCTTGTGAACAAATCACTTAACGTACAGAGCAGAGTATGGATGCTGAAGTTCCGGGTTTCTTACTAACCACATTGATTAACTGCCTTGGGCAACTTATAATTTGGAGTCTGTTTCCTCATCTGTAAAATGAGAACAACAGCAATAACTCAGATTCATTTCAAGGAAAATAAAGTCATCTTATTTATATAAAGAACTTGGTATGGTCTGGTACACATGATGCCTCAGTGAAGAGTGGTTACTTCAAAACTAGAGTTAGAAAGAAAAACTCATCGCTCGGGACTGGGGAGTAAATATGAGAACACAAATGAAATCATTGCAAATTATAGATAACCCAAATCTCTTGGCTGTAAGGTCTGTGTATTCTCGCAGCATTACTGAATCCATACAAACCAACAGCTTGGGCACTCTACAGCTTATAGAACAGTTTCACGGGACTGATGCATTTGCTGTTCACATCTGCCATATGAGGCAGGTATTATTTTCTCCATTTTACACTCAGAGCACCACTCAAATGGTAGGTTACTGTCACTGTTATAAATGTGTGGGCTTTGCGGGAATGGATCCTTGCTTAGCCTCAGTACCCACCATATTTGGGCCTGGTGAAATATGCCCATAAACCCAAATGCTCAGCTAATCAAATCAGCCCCCAAAGAAATTTCCAGAGGTGAGCATGGCAGAGTTAGGTAAGAAAGACTACAAAATAACAACGTGGATATAGTTTGCTAAGTTTGTTAAAAAGAAGTATTTTAGAGCCACATCAGCATTTATATTTATTCTATAAATATTTAAGAATGTTTTAAAATGGGGCGCCTGGGTGGCGCAGTCGGTTAAGCGTCCGACTTATCGCGGTCCGTGAGTTCGAGCCCCGCGTCGGGCTCTGGGCTGATGGCTCAGAGCCTGGAGCCTGTTTCCGATTCTGTGTCTCCCTCTCTCTGACCCTCCCCCATTCATGCTCTGTCTCCCTCTGTCTCAAAAATAAATAAAGGTTAAAAAAAAAAAAAAATTAAAAAAAAAAATGTAGAAATTATTTTACTCCTCTATGAAAATTCACATATTCCCATGTAAGGTACCCTGTTGATAGTTTGCTGGTAATGTTTCCTTGGCATAGGAACACGGTAGAAAAAAAAAAGGCATAAAATGTCTCCTCGACTACCCTCAGCATTTGCCATTTGGAAGCATGGCAGCCACGAGGATATGCCCTGCAGACCTTCAACATGTAAGGGGTGCAAAGACCATGTGCCCCAGCTGCTGTGCCCCTGAAATCCACTGCCATGTTCGCTCTGAGGCCATGCTTCCCACAGGCTGCTGTCAGCCTTTGTACCCCACTCACAGGGATATTAAAGTTGGCCTGTTTCTGGAACACCGGGACTCCTCTGGTAGCTGACCTTGGCTTGAGGATTCCCGGACACCTTTGGTGAACTTTAAATTGTGTGGCAGTTTCTAGGTCACTTCCACCCAATCTTCCTTCCTCTCTCTGGTCTAGACTTCCATTGCCTTCTGATGATTCTCCCAGCCTTCTGTGGCTCCCTCCCTAATTTCTCTCACAGCCAAATAAAATCCTAGCTTCTTCAATCCTCTCTTGGCATTTGTTTCTTCAAAGACCCCACACCCCATGGTATGTGATTAACTAAGCTCCACAAGCTCTCCTGCTGTTGTTCATGGAGTCAGTGCCTTGACCTGCACTCTCCTGATATGGCCAGGGCCACAGGAAGTAAGAAAGAAGGGGAGGTGAAGGACTAGGGTGGTGAACCAGGCTACACGAGGGTCAGGACACACATCTAGGACCCTCTGGTACTAGCAGTATTTAAAGTCTGCTGTTGCCTCGTCTCTGAATGCCCCTGTGCCTCTTCCCAAGCAAAAGAAACAGCTGCGGAGTTCTTGATTCTCTTTCAAATGTATATCACTGTGTTTCACTATGTTCCTCCCTGCACTCCCACAGAACAGTTTCTGCCTAGAAGAGACAGAACTTGCTCTCCTGCTCTGTGTGGCCTCGGGCCGCAGCAGTGTAACAGTCACAAGGCACCTTCCCTTGCCACTGTGGCAGCGGGTGCAGGACATGTGCATGCTCAGGCAGGCACTTCTTACCTGGCCTTTGGCTGGGTCTTTTTTGCAGCTGCCTCACTGGCTTTCACTGGTTCAGGAAGCTTTGCTGGAATGGGAGAGTTCTAGAAAATTGAAAGGAAACCAGAAAAGGACATTGCAGATTTCTTTATAAAAGAATAACCAGTATGACTGGGCCGATGGAAATACATGTCAGGGTGTTCCAGAGGGGCTTCCAGACCCTGATGTCTATTAGAGGGAAGGGAAGTCAACCAAAGGTAGATTGCACCAGACTCAGCCCCACTCAGGGAGGCAGCATATCGGAGAGGAGTACAGAGCAGCCTGTGTGCAGCACACTCCACCCCTGCCTCCTCCCAACCTTCTGGACCCTTTGCTTCCTTGTGCACAGCTTAGAGGTGATGTTACGAAAGGAATGGGAAAGAGATGTCTGTAACCTGTGTTAGCATTTAAGCTATCAGCTAGACCTTAGAGAAGTCAGCGCTAACCATCAGTGCACCCAGCTGGGGTTCACTCCGTCTTCTGCTTGAACGCTGGGAGAAAACCACGGCTACGACCCATCTGGTTGCTGAGCCAGTGCCTCTCACGGTGCGTGAGGCACCCCTCAACCCACAAGGCCAGTAGAACTCCTCCCAGCTGGATTCTGCGCTGGCCACCTAATACCAGCTCTCAAGGGAGTCCTATTGTCCCTGACCACATGACAACTGCTTAGCACTGCTGAGAACCAAATGGCCTGAGACTTGTGAAGCTTTTTCTTTTTTTTTTTTAATGTTTATTTATTTGAGAAAGAGACAGTGTGAGCAGGGGAGGGGCAGAGAGAGAGGGAGACAGAATCTGAAGCAGGCTCTAGGCTCTGAGCTGTGAGCACAGAGCCTGATGTGGGGCTTGAGCTCATGAACCGCAAGTTCATGGCCTGAGCTGAAGTTGGACACTTAACCAACTGAGCCACCCAGGTGTCTCATGCAGCTGACTTTTTAAAAACTGGTTACCAATCTGAATGCTTTCAATTATGTTTCAGGTTATTTAACTTTATGAATGGGGAAGGAGGACAGCAAAAGAAAAACAAGGCCATGTTGGGTTCCTGTACAGGATTCCTCATTTTAATCTGGAAACCCAACAAATGGAATACTAGCAATAGTACATATTTAGGCTTTTAGGAGGGACTGCCCATTTCCTTCATGTTTCCAGGTGGGGAGAATTTCTGCTAGAATATCTCTCCTTGCTTCTCTTCCACTCTCCAAACATTCCTCTCCCAAGAGAGGAGCATAACTTATTTGACTGATAGGACCGGGAGAAAAAAGTGAGCTTGCCTGGCTCACCTGTGTGCTCCCTCCTTTAGGGTAGAGCCTTCTCTCCAGAATCAGGCACTCCCAGCTCAGTCATGTGGATCTAATGTTAGGGAGCCTGACTGGTCAAGCTACGTTCTCTGACTCAATCTTATTAGTAATAAAGCCAATACTCTGAGTTCCGTCTGAATGATTTCCACATCTGATTCCAAATGTGGGAGTGAAAGAGGAGTGTTCTTTATCAGCACCCTCAAGCCCCCACAGTGACATCAAAAGTACATTATTGGGAAAATTGAGAAGATAATTTCAGATTAGAACTTATTTATTACGGCAGCCATTAGTAAAATGTTCAAGGGAGCTGGATTACAATATGACATGAAAAATATGCTAAGACCATAAAAAGGGTGTTTGCAAGCACTATACTCTGAAAGCTGCAGAGTGTAGAGCTTAGGATTACTAAAGTGTAGAAAACATTCTTATGGCCTGATGTATGTGGGGAGGGTGGTGGAAAAGGAGTGTGTTATAGGTGGCAGACAGCAGAAGCAGAATCAAGAAAGTTCTGCTGCAATAAAGGAGAAAAGGGACAAAGGACAAGAGGCTTGCGTCCCAGTAGGTATGTGGGCAAGTCCAGAGGCCTGCCTTAGGAAACCAGCCTGCCTTACCACTGCTAGGTAAATACAGTAGGCACTTGGATCTTAGTGAACTGAGGAAGTTGACAAGACAATAAGTTGGTCAATCTTCACCCAAAGTGTTCAACTCAGTCCTGAGGGAACTTTCTTTTTTTTTTTTTTTTTTTTTTTTTTTTTTTTTTTTGGTGTAATTGCCTTAGTTTAAATTGCCATAGTTAAATTCTATGGGAAAATTGGGTTCTCTTTATAGTAATTGCTTCATACTTAGCTTTGCTTGAACACCTCCTATCAGATAAAACAAAGGACATCTATACTTGTTAAGCAGCTGGTTAACACCTCAGGAATTTTAAACAACAATTTGATAATGTTTACTTCCCCTAAAAAGCATCTTTCACATACCTGCACATTAGGAATTGGGCATTCTTTCTTGAGTAGTTTGAATGAGAAGTAGGACACCTGGTAAATATCTGGCCTTTTGTCAGGGTCTGGTTCCAACATATACCCTAAGGCAAACATATGTGAATTTACTTAATAATATTCTAATACTTATTATATCAGCTAGGAAGTATAATTTCTGTTACCAAATGTTATTTTCATTTTTATTTCTCATAAAAGTCAGACAGTATAATTAGCTCTTTTCCTCCCCTCTCAGAAATGAAAGCTATAACTTCCCGAACATTTGTAACATCCACAAGAAAGTAACAAAATTTCTGAACTGTAACAAAGATACCTGAAGTTCACCTTCTGTGACTTGTGCAACAGGGACTCAAGCAAACTCTCAATATGAAAGTTACCACCTTCATATTCTGGTACCTAGGAAGTTATGGAGTCTTGCTTCTGCCTTCCTTAGTTCATGATATCTTGCTAAACAAATGATTATCCTTGATAATTATAATCAAAACTCAGTGGGTTTTTTTTTTCACTTTCTTTTCTTCTTCCTCTTCCTCCTCCTCCTTTTCTTCTTCTTCTTTTAGTAATCTCTACTCCTTACGTGGGGCTAGAACTCACAACCCTGAGATCAAGAATCTCATGTTCCACTGAATGAGCCAGTCAGGTGCCCTTCAAAACTCAAACTTTAAGAACTGACTATAGACATTGGGGTACAAGTGCCCCTATGCATCAGCACTCCTGTATCCTTTGGGTAAATTCCCAGCAGTGCTATTGCTGGGTCACAGGGTAAATCTATTTTTAATTTTTTGAGGAACCTCCACACTGTTTTCCAGAGTGGAGTCTGCATTCCCACC